AAACGACAAAGTTTGCTCTCGCGCAGTTCAAGTCCGTCGTGACGGGCCTCACGTGGGAAGACGTCAAGTCGGGCTCTGCCGCATTTCGCGAATACATCCTCGAGGCGGACCCAAAACAGGTTTTCGGCGGCTTACAGCGATACGCACTCGTTGACGGCCCCGTCGTGTGGTGCCATCAGGCTTCAATGGAGGCGTACCGCGACCAGCTCGTCGCCGAACTCAAGCGCCGCGGTCCCATTCGCGACACCAACAACGACGACGACATGGACGTTGCGACGGCCGAGGGCTATCTCGGTGACCAGGACGCAAACAACAACATCAACCCTTGACAACGTGCTGCCAGGACGCCAAGGCGACGGTTCTCAGGGTGTGTGGTCGTATCGTCGTTATGCCTTGCTCATCTTATGGAATATCTTTATGCTTGATCCATTCTTCTCTTGGCGGGAGATTGATGTTAGTCGGTTGCGAGGTTGATGTTAGTTTGTCGCGAGGCAGTCGCTAGTCAATCGCGAGTAGGCTGGGTTTGTTATGAAAGCAGCAGGAAATGGAAGTTGAAGAGGTCCTCGCCTTTGACGGTACGAGAAAGGACAGCGCCTTCGCTTGGCCTTGCTCTTAATACGTTCCTAACCCTTACTACCTACTAGTACACTAGAAATAGTGGCGGGTGCGAAGCGGGAACTCGGGGGACAATATAAACAATGTGCTTCGTAAGACTCGGCATTGATATCGTTCACAAAGACTGCCGGTAGACCATCCAAGCACAGAGAGCGGGGGTTGCGGCAGTGTCTCGAGCAAGCAAAATGAGATGGCTAGTGTCTCCATACGATAATCAACGCATGCAGCACTGCTCACACGTTGGCAACTGCAGCGTTGGTTTACGCAAAAGGGCAGTCGGCAATAGCCTTCGGCGAGGCGAGGGCAAATGGAGCTTGGACATTCGCACTGGGGTTGCTCCAGGGCCCATCGAGTTGAAGAAAGGGAGGCAGTGAGCACGCGTCATCGGGTGCTGGTAGAGACAACGACGGACTGGAGACCATGCGCTGGCGCTTGGCAGGCCCGTTGCGTTCGAAACTTGGTGCGTCGCGCTTGCCAAGATACGATTTCGAGTGGTCCATGGCGGTAGTACTGTCCACCGCATCGTCATCGCTCAAGACCTAACAATTTGCCATGTTCCAGCAGCCAAGCTTGCACTACCTCGTAGAGTGCTTCGTTGGTGTGTCCCAGCAGTATGCTTGCTGTCTCGCGGCTGGTCGACAGGGAGTCGCTGCGTCCTGCTCATCCACGGTCGTGCGTGAGCGTGTATCGCCAAGGACTTGGGAGGGCATACCTGCAGTGGATGCATCTTCGCTGCCTCCGAGGCTTTGCATCGTCTTGTCCGAGTTGACGTCCGCGTTGCCCTAGACGAGACATTGCCATCGCATGCTGAAGAGCTCGTCGCACAGCGCCATGCACCTCGTCCGTCGTGGCACCGCCAGCGCTCTCGGCGCAATCCGCGTCCTTGCTCGCAGCGTCTCCATGCAGCCACTCGCTGCCCAGGCTCGTCCCGGCTGCGGGCGTGCTTGACGTCGAGAAGATCGAGCCCATGACCGGAAATGCAAAAATGACGTTTCGTCCGGATAAACATAACAGTTTCCCTCCGGATAAACCTCCACGGCCACCCCACCAAGGAAATTCCCTTGACCCCCACTGACAGCAAGCCGAAGCACCATCGGTCATCAAGGATACCCTTGGGCCGTGTGCTAATGGTCCTTGTCCATGGGGCGTCTGGCACGTACGTATGGCTGTGTTCGAAGAGGCGTGGGGTCGATCCTCGCCGTAGAAGCCACGTCTCGTGCATGGCGGTGGGAAGTGGGCTAGCTCTCGAAGCTTGACGTACCACTTGCAAGCTGTGGGAGCCATCGGCGGCTACTTCGAATCACCAAGTTCCGGCCACCGCCGGTACGCTGCTACTCTTCACACGGCACTACGAAGCACGAGACATTGCCGCGCGCAGTTGCCTGCAGCGCGCGTCTCTTGGGTGCCATGGGGCGGCTGGGTTCAGTGGGCTAGCGGACGCCAAGGTCCGAACCAACGACGCACAACGTCGTCTCGGCCAGCGACCGACGCAGCGCCGAGGTTGTCGACGGTCGTGCTTCATTTTTGAGAAACCATCGCCAGCGCTGCCAAAACTGTGTGCACTCGTTCTAGTAGCAACCAGCAGGTGCATCCAAACGACGACGAAGCGACGTGACGCTCTTGCTCCGAGAATGCGGCTGCGTTCAAGCGCCGAAGTGCGCGCGGGTGATAGTAGGGTGATCGCGTATGGGCAGTTGTATCGAGTGTCCACATGGACGAGACCACACCAAGTTGGCAGTAGCACATGCTTCACGCTCTCGCCGGTGCCTTTACACGCGCCTGCTGCTCAACTGGCACGGTACCTGGCCTCTGCGCTGCATGTGTCGACAGCAAGCGAGCTGCGAGGCCGACGAGTTGGCTGCGGTAGTAGAGAGTGGGCTCTTGCGGTAGGACACGTCGGTAGCGCTCGGCGAAGCTTCGTCGACGGCGAGCCGATCCACGCATGGGCCAAAGGCAGCAACTGGCAAAGTTGCGTGTTTTATACCACAGTGCAACATCCGGGTCTATGATATATATGGTGGAGGCAGATATCTAGAAACACGTCCCTTTGGCCCACATGGCTGGGTACCGTAATGACGTATTCAGTTTTCAAGTGGTGACACTCTCTGGGGTGCAGGTCGACGCCGCCCGATGCAGTCGTCGAGGGAAGAGGTCGCCCGGCGCTGGATGGAGATGGTGCTCGGCGAGAACATACATGGCGTCTTCGTGGAAGCGCTTGAGGACGGCGTCATCCTATGCTTGCTCATCAACCAGCTCTACCGCGCCGTGGGCATGAAGCAGTCGAGCTGCCCGTTTGACGAAAAGCACGCGACCAAGCCCGCGGGCTACCAGGCGCGACGACAGAATCTCAAGAACTTTCTCTCGTACGCAACGCACGCACCCCGTTCGTCACGCTGCCTCCTTGTAGCGCCTGCCGCTTCTTTGGCGTGCCCCAAGACGACTGCTTCCGCCCGAGCGACCTGCTCAAGCGCCCGAACCCCGACAAAGGTACCCGCACTGTCCTCGCGCTGTGGTTCACCTATCGTTCCTAGTCTATACGACGATTCTGTCGCTACAGGCCGCCGTCATGCACCTCTCGCGCCAGCGCACGCCCGAGGAGCGTGCGTCGCTCGGCTCGCTCCACATGTCGTCGTCGTCCTTCACAGCGGTACTCGCACGTTCTCGACTCTTGGCTCTACCTTGGCACAGGACATGGAAGACACCAAGATGCCCATCTCGCCCCTCGTCGCCGAGGTTCCGACGCCAGTGGCCCCGTTCGACGACAACGCGCCGTTCGTTGGCGCCGAGAGCGCATCGGCGTGGACGCAGCTCATTGCGCAATACGAAATGCAGCAACTCCAAATGTATTGCACGCCGCCCGACGACGACGAGACGATCGCCAACGGCGGCACGGGCAAGCTCGCGCACGACTTTTGGCGCACCGAGGAGCGCGTCCGGATGCTTGTGCGCGAAGAAGCGTTCTGCAAGCACATGCCGTCGGAGCTGCACGGCCCGCTTTGGCTCATTTTGTCGGGCGCCAACGTCGAGATGCGGGAAAACCCGGGCCACTACAGCCGCCTTTTGGCCAACGACCCGATCAAGTAGGACGTTGTCACCTACATGGACTCACACGGGGGCGTAGCGCGGAGGCCGTGCGCCAAATCGACGCCGACGTCGACCGCACCGTGGCGCCCGACGATCCCGATTTCTCGCCCGACCTCGTCGACGCGCTGCGCAACGTGCTCGTGGCGTACGCAGCGCACAACCCGACCTTGGGCTACTGCCAGGGCCTCAACTACGTCGTCGCGCGCCTCCTGCAGTGTGTTGGAGACGAAGAAGCAGCGTTTTGGCTTCTCGAGCGCATGATCACGATGCTGCCCGAGGACTACTACACGACCATGGTATCTCTCAATCGTGAGTCAATATGCCTCATCCAACGACGTAGCTCGGCGTCGCCGTCGATCAGCACGTGTTTGCGTCGCTCGTCGCCCAGCAAAAGCCGGACGTCCTGCGCCACATTGAGGTACGCGTCGCTTTGTTGCAATGTATCAAGGTGGCTTAGGGTTTGGGTGGATTTGGCGCCGAGCTTTCGCTGGCATGTACCGAGTGGTTCCTCACGCTCTTTGCCAGCCCGTGCAAGAAGGAAGTGACGATGCGGGTGTGGGACCTCCTCTTCATCGTCGGCAACGAAGTACCATCCAAACGTCACAAGGCGGCCGTCTCATGGGACTCTAGGTGCTCTTCCGCGTCGCCCTGGCCATGATGCACCTCGAGCACGCCAACATTGTGCACTGCCACAACTACGGCGACGTCCTCACGTGCCTCAACCAGGTTCGGCTACGCACGCCTCTGATTTCTGATGGTTTGCGCAGATGGGCCGGAACGAGTCGTTGGATCCCAACCTGCTGCTGCGACTAGCCCAAGAGCAGGACATCCCGACGATTACGATCGAAGACCTGCGCGTGATTCACCGCCTCGAGCTTGCTTCCGGCATTGCTAGCTCCGTAGCCAAGCAGTCCATGCCCGAGACGCCGCGCGGGAGCGTCGTCGCGTCACCCTCCAAGCGCCGAAGGCACCGCGGGCGACAGTCCTCGGCCGACCCGCTGCTGTCGTCACGGTACATCTGTCGTCTGTGCCAACGACTCGTGACCACCTCTGTAGCTCGCTTGCCCGGCACTTATCGCAGGAAGCGATCGAAGACCCCGCGACGCCGGACGGCACGTACTTTAACGGGCCTCCTAAGGTACATGTGTACCAACTCGACTTCGGGAACGAGACTCATCCACGAGGGAGTAGATTCTTGAGAGTTATTGGCGCCCAAACGATGGGTTTACCCTGCCCGTGCGCTGCGATGACGAGGCGCCGCTGTCGCTCGATAGGCGGCGGCGCCAGCGCCAGCACTCGGACATGGGCGGGCGGCGCAGTCTCGACCACGGGCTACGCTCCGCATCGTTCCGCGAGCAACGGAGCAAGAGCACGGCGGACGATCTGCGGTCGAGTTTGGACTGTGACCCGCGGCCCGAGAAGGGTATCACAGTGTTTTTCAAGCGCATTGAGGAGTGGGGTCGTGACAAGAAGGCGGCCAAAGAGCGCAAGAAGCAAGAGAAGGCCGCGTGGCAGAGTAAGATCGTAGAGGACTCGGTCGCCGAGCACGACGAGCCGCCCGCGCCCTTTGAGCTGCTCATCAAGCCTGTCAAAGTCGAGCCCAAGCCGACCGAGTCGGAGGCCTACCTCATGATCCAAGAACAAATCGCGCTCCAGACGCAAATTCAGGACCAGCTCTCGCGCTGCAGCTTTTCGGTGCTACCAGAGAAGACCAAGACCGCGCGACGCAAGCCAAAGCCAAAGCCCGTGGAAGCCCCCGCGCCGCCCGAGCCTGTCCGGCGCCTCATCGGGTCTCGATCGACACCGTCTTTGGCCTCGCTCGAGACGGAAGCGACGCTCTTGGAGGCGGCGCACTTGAGCGGCGACGACGCCGATGACGACGCCTTGCGAGGGCGCACGACGACGTTCCGGCCTCCGCGCCATCGCACCGCGTCCTCCTCGAGCATCCTCGAGAGCCCGCCGACGCACGCGACGTTTGGGAAGCGCCACGTGCCTCTGCTAGCGCTCGATGCGAGTGTGTCGCCGCCCGATATGCGCCGACACACGTCACTGCCAGCGACGGCGCGTCACGTGCAGTCGCTCAACGCGCGTCAAATGCACCTCGAGAACGCCCGCCTCATGCGCGATCGCGCCAACGTCGTCTCGTACTTGCACCGAAAAGCGAGCGATGTGAGCAGCATCACGAGCCACAGCGCCGCCGGAAGCCCCGTGAGCGGCTCGGAGGTCGACATGGCCTTCCGCGAGAGCTTTGGCTCGGACGACAGCGGACGCCGCGTGCGCGGCCAGCGCACCAACTCGTTTTCGTTCCTTGAGCGCCTCTCGGCCGACTTTAACGGGAGCTTGCTCGAAACGTCGGACGCCCACGCGTCGCTCCTCGAGTGCTAAGATAGAGTAGTGTTGTGAAATAGCGTCTCTTAATCGTAGTCCAGCGTCATCATAGTGGTTGAGCATTCGTCCAGCCTTGCTCGTCAGAAGGAGCGTCGGACTCTGTGCTGCTACATGTACCTGCGAGCACCACACCCCCACAGTCATTACAGTCTTGAAGCGCGACTGATCAGCCGTGGCGTCTCCGCTCACCGGTCGACCGCGATCATCAACTGTAAGGTAAATCGGCAGCAAGGACACGGTTGCTGTCTCTGGAGGATTAGGTTTAGGTGTGGATAACCCTAGCCCTCGTGGGGACGGCTTATGAAGTTACGACAACGCATACGTAGCGACGACGCCCCAGTGGTCGGAAGGGTACATCGTCGCATCGGTCGGGAGCTTGTCCTTGCCGAAAGTCGCGAAGGTCGTCGGGGTCATTCCATAGCTAAAGAGGCGGTCAAACCGGCACTTGGCGACGTAGGAGACGTCCGGGAGGTTCTTGTTGACGCTCGTGTCCCACGTGTGTTCGTGCAGCGGGTCGCTGCCGCACGCGACCCACGCATCGTCCACACCGTCGGGAAGCTGCGCTTTCTCGCGGTTGCCGAGGTTCATGTCGCCGCCAAAGACCCACGGATGATCCGACATTGCCAGGACCTGGAAGCTCCAGTCGAGCTGCTCGAAGCGCACGGCGCGGTTGGGCCCGAGGCTTTCAAGGTGCGCGGTGGCCACAGCCAAGCGCCGGCCGGCCAGCGTCGTTTGCAGCGTGTGCAGCCCCCGGCCCATCGTGCTGCGTGGAAAGTCGACGCGTTCGTAGTGGTGGACAGGCAGCGACCGCTGGAGAAAGATCATTTCGCCGTACGCGACATCGACCACGTCGCCGGGCGAGACGTACCCGAGATGCACCATGCGCGCTTTAAAGAGGCGACTCATGTCGGGCGTGACCTCCTGGAGGAAGACGACGTGCGGCTGCAACGTCGCAATGGTGTGGGTCATGCATCGAATGCGATCGGACACGAGCACCTCGTCGAACCACACATTGAGCGAGGCAACGCGCAACGTCACGGGCCCTTTGGGTTCTGCAACGCTCGCAGCGGCCTCGGTGGCTGCTGCTACAGCGGGTGCGGGCGCTGGCGTGGACGCTGCCGTGTCGTCGGTCTCTGTCTTGCGCTGCTTTGTGGGCCGTTCCATCGCACGATGCGGCTTCGGGTCCGCAGTCTCTTTGGCGCTCTCGTCGTCGTCGCTCGAGGCCAAGTCGACCACATCGATCGGCCGCTTGGCGCCGGCGCTGGCGAGCGCAATGTTGAAGAAGGCGGCCCGTGGATCCGCCGCCACCGCGTCTACGCATGGTCATGAGCGGGCGACGCTGATGCAGAGTGTCTACCAGGGCGCGCCAAGTCGCATGCTTCACATGCGTCGCAGTCGGGCGCGTTGATGAGGGAGCAGCGCGGGCAGTCCCAATCCGCCCACGCTGGCAAGGACATGGCGGCAACTGTTTCTAGTCCGGATACGGATGCTGTTGCTGTATATTGCTTTATTTATTTATAAAGCGCTCGCAATCCGGTTGCGGTGACTGGACTGGATACAAGAACTGGTCGTTCTACTAACGGGCGGCGAATGACTACCGAGCCAAAGAAGCCGACGCGATTGGCGCTGTCGCTGGCCGAGAAGAAGCGGATCTGCGAGATCTACCAGCTCCAGGACAAGTGGACGCACCAGCAGATCGCCAATGAGTACAACCGGACGCTCGAGGACCCGGACGCCCGGCGCGTCGCCCGGCTCAATGTGACCAAGACGCTCAAGGACAAGGACAAGTGGCTCGCCATGGACCCATCGCTGCTCAGCCGGAAGCGCGTGCGTGGCGGCAAGTTCGAAGCGCTCGAGCATGGTCTTAGCCTACTGCTGCAGCAAGTGCGCGCCCAAGGCGGCCGGCTCTCGGACGCGATCTTGACCACGCACGCCGAGCGCCTCCGCGAAGAGTACAACATCAAGGAAGAGGACTTCAAGATCTCGAACGGATGGGTTCAGAATTTCAAGCGGCGCCACAACATTCGCATGACCGCCAGCAGCGAGTCGCCGTCGCTGCCGACGCCAACGCCGGCGAAAGCGCTGCCTCGCCCGTCGGACCTCGACACAGAAGACTGGGCGGAGCACATCCAGAGGCTCATTTTGGACAACACCAACAAGCCCGACGACATCTTCCACTTTGACGAAGTCCAGCTCTGCTTTGGCAAATCGTCGGCTGCGAAATCGCGTGGCCATCACCTCGTGGTCGGCCTCATGACCAACATGACGGGCAATGAGAACACCGCGATGGCCTGTATTCGCAAGAGCACCGAGGCCGCGCAGTTCAGCGACATGATGAACGCGTCCGAGTACGTGCACGTCGACGTTCTCCCGCGTGCAAGCATGGGCAAGGAGCTCTTCTCCAAGTACATGCTGCATTTTAACGCCAAGATGGCGCAGTTGGCGCGCCACGCGATCTGCTTTGTCGACCAGACGCCAAGCCACTGCTTGAACGGCCGGCCGACCGCCGCGGCGCAGCTCCACGCGACGCGGATCCAGCTGTCGCACACGACCGTCTTCTTCGTGCCACGCAAGTGCCCGTCGCCCATCAACATGGGGGTCGGCCGGCTCTTCCAGCTCCAGTACAAGCTCGCGCATCTGAAATGGCAGCTCTCGTCCGTCATGGAGGCGCACGACGCAGACGGGATGCTCTCCGAGAGCCTCGTGCACCCGACGATCGCGCCGGAGCAAGTCCTCCTCTGGTGCGTCCAGCTCTGGAAGGACTTCCCCGCGCACGTCATCAAGAGCCATTGGCGCAAAGCCGGGTGGGTGCCCGACATATGGATCGAGGAGGGCCCCGACGTCGACGCGGTCCTCTCTGAGAACACGCGGCAGCAGATCCAGAGCGAGTGGCGCGCGCTGCATGTTATGATCTACGGGAAAGAGCCGCCGGAAGCCGCGCAACTGCAGGACGAACCACTCGCGACGCCCGACGACGATGACGAGCATCCGCCGATGCAGACCACGGTTCTCACGGACGAAGTCATGCCCGCGATCACCAACAGCAGCGTCGCGCAGTCGGCCGTGACGCAGCTCTCGCTCTTCCTCCAGGCCCAGCCCGAGATGTTTACTGTCGAAGACCTCAACGTGCTGCAGAGCATCTCCAACCGCTTGGTCAAAGACGACGCTGCGCTGTCGTTCCGCATGTAAATCTCAATATGTCATTTATGTCGCGTCGTCGACGGTGACGTAGTGGCTCGTCACATCCGTTGCTTCGACGTACATCCAATGACCTTGGAGCGGCGGCTGCTTGTTGAGTCGCGCCAAGCGCCGACACTCGTCGTCCACGAGCTTGTCTTTGCGCCGACGCCGTACGCGCTTGTAAATGTCGGCGTCGCTTCCAGGGAACCGACGGTACGCACCACAGTCGTGGCGAGGCGCATACTTGAGTCCAAGCACATTGCGTCCTAGTACATCGTTGGGTGAACACAGTGGGAAGAGTGGGAACTGCACGGAGGTAGTCGGAGCGGCCATGGTCGTCCCATCGCTCTTCGCGCTCGTCCTAGCCCGTTGAGCTGTTTCGATTTCGGACGTACAAACGAGCCTACTTCGTCGACAGCTTCCAGCGTTGTTGGCGACGCGAGCGATGGCGCCGGGTCGAGGAGCGCGCTAACTTGGCGCTGCACGTGTTCGTGCCTATGACGATGCTGCACGGACGCTGCAAGCCGGCGCATCTCGTTGATCTCTACACGTTCTGATGACCATTTAGGGTAAACACTTGGTCGCACCATGCGAGTGGCTGCTCGCGTTGGCCGCACGTGCCGCGTGTAGCAGCGTGTACAGCTGCATCTGCGTCGGCAACGCGGCGTCGTCAAAGAGAGCCACTGTCGTAACGAGACGCGCAACGACGTCATCGACGCCCCTCACGTCCCGCGGCATTGCCATCTCGTCAGCGAACGCGACGAGGCGGCGGAGGCGTGCGTCGACCTCGACCTCGACACGTTGCTCAAGGTCGAAGGCACCATTTGGCATCTCGGTCTCTCGGAGGCAAGGCGAACAGTGACAGCGAGCCGTTTCGTTGGCGCCGCTTCATTATCAAGTTGATACTATTACATAAAATCATCCCTTGCGCTTTATTGCCGAGGGCTTTTGTCCCCTTGCTATTACACACGACCAGCACTCGGCTGGCGCTCGAGCGTCCGCTGGATGTGTGGCTTGATGCGCTTCTTTGGGGTGCTCTTGGCCGCCGCCAGCGTCTCCGAGACAAGCTTCATGCACTTGGCGCGGCTCGGCTGCAAGGCCGACCAAAGCTCGTGGCCGTCGGCGCTGCCCAGGGCAAAGGCCGATGCGCTCTTGCTTCCGACGCTGCACTCGAGCACGCAAGCGTGGTCGAGCTCGTCGCTCGACTTGCGCAAGTACGCGTTCGGGTCGATGGGAATCGCCTTCGTTGCAGGCCATAGCGCTAGCCGGTGCAGAGCGAGCTCTGGCGCGACGTTCGACGTCTGAAGACACTCGAACGTCCACGGATGTAGCGCCGGCGTGGGCATTGCGAGTGGTGGCTGGTTGTTGTGGCAGAGCGAGACGCACGTCTGCACAGTTGCCTTGATGAAGACGACGGCGAGGTCGTGCTTGCTCGTACACGCGTACTTGCGGGTTCCCATCGCCACGACGTTTCCCGACGGCGCCTGAAGCATGCAGAGCGCGTCCGTGTCGTGCGTGATACCGAGCACGTCAAAGTCGCGCTTGGTCAAGATCGCGCTGCCCTCAACAGCCGCAAAGTCCAGGTACTGGAGCGGACTCTTGGGAAAACACACGTCGCAGTAAAAGCTACTGCGGTTCTCGTTCACCGTCGGCGTGTCGATGCGCCGCCAGCGGCTGCAGCGAAGGTGGTAGACCTCACTGCACTTGTCGTTGACGCAGCTTAGCCGGTGCTTATCCTTGACGGGCTTGGCGCACACGGCACACGTCGTCGCGAGTAGGACGCCATCGTGGTTGAACTTTTGCACGCTCTTGTACTGCATGGCGCCTTGCACCTACGAGATTCCATGAGACCAACTAGCGCCAAGGGTACCCGACCGTTGCTTGGACGTGCTTGATGTTGTAGTGCTCCATCTGCAGCACCATCGAGAGGTTGGTGTTGATCGCGATCGTGAATACAAGGTCAATGTTGTCGCCAGTGCTAGAAGCCATGTCGGATCGTAGAGTGGAAAATGCGGACGAGCACCTCTCGAGAAGACCGGTTTGGTCGGACGAGTACGGACTCGTCGTCACTGCAAGGCCAAAGTTCATGCAGCGCGTCCAGAGAATCAGCGACAGCTTTTGCATGAACCCTTCTGCGGGAAGGCAGTAGATGGTCTACGCCGCGCTACTTGGTGGTATACGAGCCGACAAACGTACGGTACCTCGAGGCGAATGACAAAGTTGCGCTCTTTGCACAAGCACCAGAGCGTGGCCGCCGCGTACACGGCCACGTCTAACGTAGCCCGCTCGCGTCGCTGCAGTAAGCCAGTATGCGCCAAGTACCTTCGTCGTTAGTGTCGAGAAGCTTGAGGAGAAGCGGTGTGCCGTTGATTTCCTCCAGTTGCACTTGGCACGACGCGTGGAACGAGCAGTTGATCAACGCGCCCGCGCAAATGCGCTTGAGCATCACGTCTTTCGTGTTGATGGCCACTTGGAGCAGGTAAAAGAGAGGGCACTCGTGGCGATACGACAAGCAAGACCAACTACGACGTCCATGACCGCGGAATCACGCGTACTAACGATAACCAACCTGTTGCAGGACGCAATCGCGACCCGGCCTTTCTCACTTTGCCCCAGGTTGAGCAGAATGCTACACCGCACACGAGTCGTAGTACGTATGTCGCAATATCGAGGTGTCCGTACGCAGCCGTGCGCTGTTGAATCGCCGGGCTCTCGGCGTTGCGCAAGTGCATCGCCACGACGTTGATGCCGTTGGCTGCCAAGATGTCCGCTCGCTTGGGCGCGACTTGCGAGAACTGCAGAAGGCGCGTGAGCAGCTTCTCCGTGTCTTCAAACTTGCGCCCGAGGTCCCGGAGCTTCCCGAGCGTCGCAGCGATCTCGCTGTACGTCGGTCGCTCCGGGTCGTCGGCCTTGCGCATTGCCGTTTCTAAATTTGCCATTCGTGCTTCTGATTGGCCGGATCGTCAAATTCGAACCACTCGCCGAGAAGGATCATGCTCGCGCGCACGTGGCGGCGCCTGCGTCTGACGTCGGTGCCCAAGCTGTTTGCCGACTCGAGGAGCAGTGCGACGCCCGAGACGGAGCCCTTTACCGGCTTTGAGCTCGTCTTCCTGGGCACGGGCGCCGGTGCGCCGTCCATCGAGCGCAATGCGAGCGGCCTCGTGCTGCAGCTCCACGGCGCGGCGTGGCTCTTTGACTGCGGCGAGGGCTCGCAAAAGCAAATGTTCCAGAGCAACGTGCGCGCAACGGCCATAGAGCGCATCTTCTTGACACATTTGCATGGCGACCACATTTACGGCCTCCCGGGCCTCGTGTGCACCCTCAACTCGCTCTGCGGCCCCGACATCGACCGCGAGACGAAGCTGCCGACGCCCAAAGTGCTTTCGATCTATGGCCCCCGTGGCGTCTTTGCGTTTCTCAACACGGCGCTCAACGTCAGCCGCGCCAACATGACCAACATCCGCATCGCCGTGCATGAGCTCGTGCCCTTATGCGACGCACGGACCATCAAGCGCGAGCGCGGACCGATCCACGAGGTACGAGATACATCTTCATTGATGACACAACTTGAGTGTGTCGAGTCCAGTGCCTACAGCACCACTTGATCCACCCGGATACGAGCGGCGACACGCCCGTCTGGCCCATCCTCGACGACGCCAACTACCGCGTCCGTGCTGGGTTTCTTCAGCACACGGTGCCCTGCTTTGGCTACGTCGTCGAAGAGCAGACGCGGCCAGGACACATCAACGCCGCCCTTGCAAAAGCCCGCGGTCTCCCGCCCGGCCCGCTGTACAAGCAGCTCAAGGAAGGTCGGGCCGTGCCTCTGCCCGACGGCTCGCTCCTCGAGCCAACAGACGTATGCTCACACCCACTGAAACCACTAATGTCCTGCATTAGGTCATGACGCCGCCGATTCGCGGTCGCAAAGCGGCCATATTGGGCGACTCGAGCGACTCGCTCGCCATGACGGAGCTCGCGCGCAACGCCGACGTACGACCTCTGCCTCTTGCAAATCGAAATTGATCGGTCGTAGGTCTTGGTGCACGAGTCAACGCTGCCGCACAGCATGCTCGCGCAGGTCGACAATACTACTAAGTAGTACTAAGCTGAGCCGGGTTGTAGGCCGTGCCCCGGGGCCACTCGACGAGCTCGATGGCCGGCGCGTTTGCTCGATTGAGCAACGCGACGCTGCTCGTGCTCACCCATTTCAGCAGCCGATTTAGCTACTCGCGCGCGAGCGCACGCTCCGTGCAGTCGCTCGTCGACGAAGCCCGCGCCGCGTCCGGGCGCATGGCGGTCGTCGACGCCAGTGACTTTTTGCGCGTGCGCATTCCGCGCCACGACCCGCGCGCCAAGTAAAAACAAAATCAAGTCGTAAGTCTTTGAAAAGCAGTGGTCGAAGTGTCTACGCCGAGGCGCAAAGGCGCTCGAGAAGCGCGGCTTCCGATGCAACGTACGCAGCAACGACCGCGTGGGCGCCTGCGTGTCGCTGCAGCGTAGCGACCTGTGCCGCGGCAGCTTGCTTCATCAACGTCTTGGCACGCGCCGCCACCTCGTCGGTCCACGGCAAAAACGCCGGAAGCGACCGGAGCGCCGCGCCGAGGCCGGCCTTGTCGAGCAGAAGGACGTGCACGGTGCGCTGGTCCGTGACATACGCAAACGTGCCGTCCGACGCCACGCGGACGAGCGCGGCGTCGCTCTCGAGCGTTGCGCCGAGCTTGGCGAGCACCATTGCCCGCACCTTCCAGAGCGCATCGTTATGAGCAGAAAGGCGCAGACGCAGCGTGTCGTACGCATTGACAGCAAGGCAAAAGCCAGAGTAAACGAGCAGCTCGGCGTTGGGGCGTGGGCCGTAGAAGATCGTGAGCTGCTCGCCGGTCGAAAACGAGGCCATTGCATCGCAGACCACGCCGTGCTGCGCCGACTCGTAGTAGGTCGTGATGGATCCGGGCGCGTGGTTGCAGAGGTCCCAGCCCGGAATGAGCGCGAGGGCGCGGGGGTCGGTCGGCGTCGGCACGTTGTTTTGCCGAGTGAGCACGACCGAGGTCGCCCAGAGAAAGTTCTCGAGCGTAAAGGACGTGATCGGGACCACCGAGAGACTCGAGAGACGCGCGTGCAAGTACGTGTACTGCTTGAGGCCGTTGTAGAGGAGCTGGACGGCTGGCGCGTAAGCCATTGTCGGCAAAAGAGCGGCAAAGTCGTCGCTGCTGTAGTCGAACGGGAGATGGAACCGCGTAGGCAGGATGCGCAGGTACGCAGCGAGCGGCGACGAGTCGCCCTCTTGCATCTCGTACAAGAGGCGGAGCGCCAGCATGGCCGACGGAAACTGGCTCAAGAGCGGGTCGTGTTGCAGCGGCGCAAAACACGGCAGGTGCGCCGTGCTCGACGTCAAGAGAAGGCGCTCGGGCACGAAGAGCACGCGCTCGCCAGCTTCAATCGCAGCTGTGGCCACGACGCCATTGCCCAGCGTGGGGCCCATATGCTGAAACGAATACTTGGCATCGCTGGCCCCGACCGCATCGGCGAACCACGCCGCAAAGACGGCAAGATCGGCCTCAGACGACAGGCGCGCAATGGGCGCGGCCGCACGATCTGCCGTGCGGATAGCTTGCACTGCGTTGGCGAGCTGCGCCACGGCCGACGCATTGCTTAGGAGGCTCGCCGACGATGGCGTCGCTCGCAGAAGCGTCAGAAGCGTCTCCATGGTTCAAGGCGAGCACGCGTGTGGCATCCGGATGAAATGACCGGATACAATGGCGATCGTCCAGCACTCGGAACGAGCAGTCGAATACATCATCATCGTGTTTGTGTTGTTATGTATGGCTAAGGAGACTAGGCTTCGTCGTCGATGGTCGACGAGCTCGGTCGCATGCCGGGGACGTACTGCGG